ACCCCGTTTTTCTTCTACGTTCACGTAATGAAATTAGATCAACAGTTGACTCATCGACTAGTCTAGCCTAACCCCCCAGAATCGGTCTAAAGGGCGAACGATTTTATCAGATAAGATGTGCGGCCCTAGTTTCCGGGCAATTGCGGTTTGATAGAAGCTGCGATGAGGAGAAACGGAAGATATGCGAAACTCGGGCGGATATTAAGTGAGAAACCAGGTAGGGGAAAGGCTTTCTTCCCGAAAAGTTAGTGCTCAGGCCAACTTACATGGTCACTGGAGCATTGTATAGCAGGATGTGGGAAACTATTTTTTTGCAGCAACAACCAATTGGATCGCATTTTGCAAAAAGGAACTAAGAGCATTTCAATGTTGCTGGGATTGGGCAACTTAGGTACATTCTTTGCAAAAAGTAAACTTTGCGACGGTACCTACACGGAAAAAAATTAAATGTTGATTTAGCATTTATACTGTTAAAAAGATGTCCGACAAGCTTCAAATGCTGATTTTACAATACAAAAATGTTAACATAACATTTTAATTTGTACGTTTTGCAGTGGGGGTAGTTACGTTAGCATTTGGTAAAATGTAAAATAAGCATTTGAAACTTGTCGGACATCTTTCTAACAGTAGAAATGCTAAATCAACATTTCATTCCTTACCGTGTAATTTTCGTCTTGAATTCTTAGTTTATTGGGAGTAGAGGTGAAACTAGTTTAGATGATCGTTTATGTTTGCAAGGTTAGCGACATTGGAATGCTCTTGGTATACTTATCCAGTAGCCCTTCAACAAGCCGTGGAACCGTGAACTGTTTGCGACAGGCCCTCTCAGTTACGTTCACACGGTTCATACGGCCCTCGGCTGCAAGAACATTTTTACTGCGTTAAGCAGAAAGGAACCAGCTATTGCCAAATTTAATCGGGAGATTTAATTTTTTACGTGAAAACGGTTGTGCGGACTTACGTGCAAGTTTCGATGAATTTTCTGCATGGAAAGAAGCAAGTACCTAAACATTTTCAAAGGAGTCTGTACAAACACTCTCTTGTAAAACAGTAACTTGTCCAATGAAGATGTTGCATGTGTGAGGAATTTGCGATTTGACTGTTGATTCGTGTGTAAAAGTTCGCGAGAAACACGATGGTGCCACTGGTTTTCTCTGAAATCAACTCCCAAGCTCAAAAAAAGCTCTCAAGTTGAGGCCAAAATGGAGGGGATATCCCACCCTACCCTGAGAGTCCACCTCTACATCAAGACAAACTCTCCATGCAAAGATAGGGAGCAAATACATTACCAGTGATGCCGTGTTTTCAGTTTTAGAGTCCTCAAATAAAGTGGCAGCCCTGTCAATGTATTTGCTCCCTATCTTTGCATGGCGAGTTTGTCTTAATGTAGATAGAGGTGGACTCTCAGGGTAGAGTGGGATATCCCCTCCATTTTGGCCGTAACTTGAGAGCTTTTTTGATTTTGGGAGTTGATTTCAGAGAAACCCAGTGGCACCATCGTGTTTCTCGTGAACTTTTACATAAAAATCAACAGTCAAATCGCAAATTCCTCACACATGCAACATCTCCATTAAATCTGGCAATAGCTGATGTGGCTCGGTTCCTTTCTGCTAAACGTGGTCCACTTGGAAGGCTTTCGCACCGGTATATTAATCCATACGAACTTACATCAACTCTCTCAAGATTGAAATGGAAAGCAAGTGATTGAAGCACGTCCGCAGCCAAGCTTATATCCTCCGTAGCAATTGTCATCGTGTTTGATTCATGATGGAGTCTTAGAATGCTTCCATCCCTCAAACACCGGAACGTAGCCGACCACTCACTCAATTGAGCCCGCTCATTCGACTCCATGACCTCCGCCAGCAAAAAATTTTGATTCAGCCATAGATCTAGCTGTAACAGGAGATACCTATTGGTCACACAGTGGCGAGGCGTGAATGATCGATTATCGATGTTTTCTCATTTGAAGTTATAGTAAAGAATCGATTATTAAAGAGTTCGTTGAGAACACCCTGCTTTTCGATCTTTTTCCATAGGTTTAAATGGCAGATCAATCGATAAATCGCAAAGCACGCCACACCACTGATCGCACATCGGACCGAGTCAATAGGAGAAGTCGGACAAAACGTGGAAGCTCTGAAAGCTTACATTTTCGAAAATATCAAACAAAAAAGTTCAATGGCTCTGTTGGTTTTTTCGTGAAGTTTTCTTTCAGAAGCACCCTTTGAAATTGAATTTGTGACAAAATAAACATCAACATATGATCTTTTAGCCAAAAATTTCATGTCCGACCTGTCCCTCAACCTCGTTCCACTGTGCATCGTCCAAATAATGTATTCGGCATCTATTGACGGAACACAAGACAGGGTGAAAACTGGAGCGCTGTGAGTAGAACTATAAGAATTGGATTTTTTGTAAACGCGATCTGTAATTTTGCGTAAGAAATTTTTGATCGTTCGCTACTGTTGAAAATTTCCAAATCTTTTTTCAAGATCTAAACACTCAAATTTTAGAATCAAAAAGAAACATTTCCCGACTGAAATACTTTCTCCTCCGGAAAATAATTCAAATATATTTGAATATTGGTATGATTTGTATATTTAAAGCTTCCTCTATAAATTTTCTTGAAAGTCTCTGTTTTTTACAGAAAATTCAGAAATTTCCGACACCTGCATGAATAGAGTAGGTATTATTTTCCACGAAAGTAGGAGTGGGCAGCGTTTGGCGAAAAGTAACGAAGTATAGCACGTACTGTGCAAACAAATCGAGTTTAAAGAATTATTCAGCTTGAACCACAACTGGAACCATATTTTTATCGTCAAAAAATTTACAGTCCACAGAAAAAATTTAGTAGGTATACAAAAATTTGAGTTGATTTTTTTTATGGAGCCGTGTGGGAAAATGAAACTTTAAATTAACATTTAAGAAAAGATGCGATTATTTGTGGAATTTTGTCCTCATTTAACACTACTTTTGAGAAACTTCCATTGAGGTGTTTCTTCTTAGAATTTTATTCTCATTATCAGCTGCGGTAATAAAAGTATGCTATTAAACGTAGAAAATTTGTTTTTCTATTTATATTAATTTTAGAGTGTACTGTTTGCTACCCCTATGAATACAAGATTCAGCTTACTCTCTAGCGATTACTTACTCTTTTAGGTCTTGTGTTGAGCGTAAAGGTCACAAAATTTTTTGGTTTAATATCTGGGACATCCTTCAGTAGGAGGAATGTAGAGAATCGAGGAAGTTGCCTCGTCAATTCGAAAACATGCAATTGATCGCTATCTGCTGTATTTCCAACGAATGCCTGAAATGGAGGACGGCACCGATGAGACGAATACATTTTCTGAAACTCAACTCTCTAATAATTGAGGAGAACAATATCATCACTACATCTTTATCATCAACCGTATGAGTTAGTAGTTAAGTAGTGAAATTAGCAAATAACTTGTCATAATTTCTAAGGTTCAAAATTTCAAATCATACTTTTATCACCTACTTCATTTAATTGGACGAGGACTGACAATTTTGACCTTACGACAATACATACATAAAGTCGCTTTTATAGCGCCGCCTCGCGCTCTGCGACGCCCAATCGCCATTGCCCCCTATCCTCCCAGAGATCATCAGGCAATTGGCACCTTCTGATCTCCTCCTCCACCCCTTGTCGCCAACCTTTCACAGGACGTCCACGCCGTCGCCTTCCGGGAGGAACCCAATCGAAGACCTGCTTGGGCAACCGGTCGTCTGCCATCCTTCGCACATGTCCATACCAGACCAACTGCTTGGACCTGATATCGTGCACGATGTCCTTCTCTACACCCATGATCTCGCGTACTTTTACATTGCGGATACGCTCTCTTCTTGAGATGCCAGCAGACCTCCGCCAAAAGTCCATCTCAGTTGCCCTAAGCATGTCTTCAGTTCTTTTCTTGAGTTGCCAGACCTCACTCCCGTAAGTTACGATACTCTTCACGATGACGTTGTAAATTTTCCTTTTGGTCTCCTTGGAGATACTCTGGTCCCAGAGAACCCCTTTTAGCATCGCGATAGCTTTCCTGCCTTGCACATTCCGATCTTTAATAGCCCGATCCAAATTTCCGTCCTTAGTTAACCAAACACCTAGATATTTATACTCTTCACAGTCCTGAATTTTCCGACCATCCTCCAGTTCAATGCTTTGCTGATCACCACCGATAACCAACTTCTCCGTCTTAACCACATTTACTTCCATTCCCCACTTTCGGTATACTTCCACTAGCTTCCGCGTCATGTAATTCGCATCTTCTTCGTCCTGAGCTATAACTACCTGATCATCAGCAAAGCACAGAGTATAAAGGGTGCCATCTTCACGTAGCGGGACGCCCATTCCTGAACAGCATCTTTTCCATTCCTTTAAAACTTCTTCCAGGTACACTTTAAATAAGGTTGGCGACAAACAACACCCTTGTTTCAGTCCTTTAGTAATTAAAAACCCTAACGATACGTCCCCATGCGATTTAACCCTAGAAAAAGCCCCACCATAAAATTCCTTAATAGCACTAATTAGTCCCCCACTAAAACCCCTTTTGTTTAAGGCTTCCCAAAGTTTCATCAATGGCACACTGTCGTAAGCTTTCTGGAGATCCACAAACACTAGATGTAATTCCTGGCCAACTCCCTTCTTTTTCTCGATGACGTGGATGATGGTAAATAAGTGATCAATCGTTGACCGACCGGCTCTGAAACCTGCTTGCTCTTCCGCTTCATGTTCTTTCCACTCCTCTCCGATTTTTGCTTTCAGGATTTTTCCATACACTTTGCTTAGGGTACCTGCAACCGACAGTCCTCTATAGTTATCACACTCATCTTTTCTACCCTTCTTCTTGTATATAGGTGACACCCAAGACTCTTTCCATTCTGTCGGTACCTTTCCACCGTCCAAGCAATCTTGCATCAGGTATCTCAACCGTTGAAACAGCTTGCAGGTTCCACACTTGATCAACTCAGCAGGAATATTTCCCGGACCCGGAGCTTTATCGTTCTTCAGCTCTCGTACGGCCTTTACCACGTCCTCCATATGGATCTCCAAGTTATGATTATCGTTAATATACTCCAAGCTTACACCTCCATCTTGAAATTCAGGTCGCCTTTCTGTCAGTAAATTTTTAAAATAACCCTCCAGTTTATCAATGGATATCGGAGATATTAAGTCCCGCTTCATGTCCCTTCGCAGCCCTTTCAGCAACTTCCAGCTCTCAGTGCTTTTCCTTCCTCCTATGTACGTGTCTATTTTGTTACAGCTCCTCTCCCAAGATTCGTTCTTTTTCTTGGTTATGAGCCTTCGTACCTGCGTCTGAGCTTTTTTATACGCCTCTTTGTCTTCCGTTTTTTTAGAGGAAAGGAACTGATGATATTTTTTCCGTTTCTCCTGAATCTCCTTCTCAATTTCTTCGTCCCACCAGTAAGGCTTTTCGCTAACTTTCCTATCATCAGCGACACCAAGAGCCTCCATTGCTGCCGAGTGAATGCAATCCTTCAAGAACTGATACTGCTGTTCGGTATCACCGTCCCTTGATTCGCCCAACTTCTCATCCAAGCGCTTTCCATATAAAGCCCTTACACTTGGATGCTGCAAGCTGTCAATATTATAGTTCACAAGCTTGACACGATCTTTTTGTTGGTGAACCTGTTCCTGTGCTTGCCTGGTCTCCTGGCTCCCTTTCACTGGGAAAGCTATTTTCGCCCCGAGGAAATAATGATCACTGCCGCAGGAAAGACCTCTCCACACTCTAACTTGCTGAATCTTCATTCCCGTGTCTTGTCTAACAACCACATAATCAATGATTGATTTCAATCCGCGAGTAGACTGAACCCAAGTAAATTTATGGATATCCTTGTGTTGGTAGAACCCATTGAGCACCTTCATGTCCCTTTGCTCACATACGTCAATGATACGGGCTCCGTTATCATTTAGTGCCGCCTCTCCGAAAGGGCCGACGATCTTACTTTTAATTTGACGTCCTATTCTACCATTGAGATCTCCCAACACAATGATTTCCCTCCTGGATCCAATCTTACCAATTTCCTCGTTCAATTCTTCGAAAAATTGGTCCTTCACTGCGACAGTGGAATCATCGTTGACTCCATACACTCCCAAAATGGTGATTTTATGGCCAAACACTGCCATATTCATCTTTATCATTCGGGGGTTAATAGCTTCCCATGTAGTGATGCACTTCCGTAGGCTCTTGCGAATAAGAATTGCAACACCCACCTTACGACAATTCGTAGAATATTTTCAATCATTTAAAAGTATTATATAGAAATTTATAGTAAGAAAGTTTGGTTTTATTCTTTTGTGAAAGTCATAAGTCGTGAAAGGAAATGACCTAAGGAATTCAATGGAGATCCATCCGTATTCCTCATGTATCATCTTCTATGTATTTTTTAGGTTCAAAGGCTAATTGCATAAGAATGATAAGGCAGTCGAAAAACTCTGATCACAATTGCAACCCTTTGGGTTTATTGTCATGCATGTACTTCATTTTGTTCATGGAAATTAAGAACATATAATTCCTCAAGATTACGGAATGATCATTATGTCTCACAGAATATTCTGGAAGTTGTTGTTCTTCTCCGTCTCCTTCTCCTCTTTTTCTTCATAAAAAAAACAAAACAAAAATAACAAAAAACAAATAACGTTGAAGATTTTGATACGCCGTATTCGGGATTCTCGCTTGCTGATTTTTGATTGTCGACAAGCAATGAATAAGGTTGTTCTCAATCTCATTTGTTAAATCCTCTGAGTCAGAATCACTATTAAACCTTGCCCAAGAAAAAAATTGAAAATTAAAAACTCTTACTGGAGATTACTGTGCATTTTTTTTTATCCTATTTCATTTTTTATTTTACTACCCAAGTATTATTGCAGGTTGCAATAAATTGCGATCACCTTGTAAAATAATTGTATCGGTGTGCTGTGGATGATGCCTATTCACCAATTGAAGGGGCTCCTTTTATTGCCCTGGTAAAAATTGGCAGTATAATCTGTGTTCCAAAATACCATAGACCAACATTCGGCTGTAGGATTTCCAATAGCTTCTATAGCCGGCTGTACAATTTCTTTTATCCTTTTATAGCCGATGGCGATTAAGCAACAGCCTGGCGATAAAGTGTATGCTAAACGTTACGATACGGATGCTAGGACTTAGTGAGTTTTTGGACTACTGCTCTCTTTTTGGGATGTAGTATCTTGATTTTTTTGCCAGGAAAGCTCCGTACTTTTGGTGGATGCCTGCCATTCCTAATATATTGGAGCGCCTTCAATTTCGTATAATTGTGTGCAATACCTCTGGTGTGAAATAGTTGATTCAAGCGCCGTGGTACGCTGGCGCTGGCGTGGCGTGGCGGGTGGGCAGCCAGCGCGAAACGTGCATTGGCGCCTACAAACCTAACAGGGATACTTCACGCATTGCGCAATGCGTGAAGTATCCCTGTTAGGTTTGTAGGCGCCAGTGCGCCGCTGCTCCGCTTTGTGTTAGGCTCTAATATTTAATCTCGTGGAGTCAGCGTTTTTTAACTCATGACTTTGAAATGTTTGCACACTCTGTATGGATTATTCTCATTTTAATTGATGAAAAAAAAAAAAATAATGTGCGTTTTGTAAATATTAAGGTGATTCCGTACAAAATTAAGGATTTACGAAGCACACGAATTTCTACACAATTTCTTAAGGCCTTTTATAGCCGATGGCGAAAAATCAACAGTCAGGCGATAAAGTGTAAAGCCCGGCGATAAGAACTATAGCCTGGCTGTATAATTTGTTATTGCTTCGCGTAGCCCGGCCGTATGATTTTTTCCACTTTCTACAGCCAACTATATGGTTTTCTATCGCCTTCTTCAGTCGGCTATAAGAACTCCTATGGTATTTTGAAACGCAGCTCCTATCGCCAATTTTTACCAAGGTGTTTACTGATATGTAAGAGTGAAATAAGATGCAATTTTGTTTGTTTTGCAAATAGCCTACCTACTTTTCCTCCCAAGGAACTCATTTTTTCGATCGTTTGAAATCGGCTTTTATTGACCAAAGATTTAAAAATATTGCATTTCTGAGATACAAAATTGTCACTCAGTTGCACTAAATTCCTAAATTATTAATACGTCTGATGCCTTGGGCTACTTGAAATTTATGTATTTTTGTAGTATCATTAAGGTGGATGGAGACACTCACTCGTATATGGATGTCATATGGGATATTTTTGGGTGAGATCAACGCAACTTTCAGAGAGTTCGAAACTTGGGCAAGTTTCGGATGAACCACCAACGTTTCACCGTCAAAGATTCCCTCTGAAAAAATTGTCACAGCTCTCAAGAGCGTCTGGTTGTTTGTCGACAGGGACAAATTTACGTGTCCAAACTGTAACATGAGGAAAAAATAGCAATTACCATTTTCGTTGACTCTTGGACTTTTCAAAATGTTTATTTTTGTTGTAGCCATAACCAGTGATTTACCGAGTCGATTACCATGATTTTTAGGCTATAAGCACCTCAAGCTGAACAGTTCCCGTGAAGATTCATGGAAAAATGGATTTCTACTTGAAGGATGATTTTGTAAGCTTATGAATTTTGGATTATTATACATGTGTCAGTAAAGAATGAAGGAAAGTCTGTGAACACGGTATTCATTACTTTCAATATAAATTTTACTACCCACATATTTGTGGTGACTTCATAGCATGCATTGCTAGGTTATTTGGTAAGGGGGCCTGGCCCTGGCTCGGCCTACCACGGGGGGTCTGGGGGTAAAAAATATCCCTCAGTCTAGAAAGGGGTTCGGGTTTTTTCTTTTCTTTTTTTTTTTTAAATTTTAACTCTATTTGGACGCATTTTAAGGCTTCCGTGACGCAGGTTTTCCAGCAATTTCCGCGGGGAAATGTCGTTGGTCTCTTACTTTTAGCACAAAATACTTTTCGAATTGTTGAGGTTAACAATTCCAGAAAAGTTTTGAAATTTTAACTCTTTTTAGACGCGTTTTGAGGCTTCCGTGACGCAGATTTTCTACATAAATTTCTGTGGAAAAATTACGCATTTTTTGGGAGGGGGGATACATACATATATACTTACGGCGCACTCTCCCTGACCACGTATTGAATTTACTTGCTTGCTTCTCATCATTTTTGTCATCCCCCCTTTCTCGCCAAAAAAGGAAAAAGATGCTCTCATATACGCATGCTGTCGATTCTGTCGCCTATCTCCAACAGTTGAATAAATAAGGTTGTCATGTTTCAGGTAGCACTAGTCCTCTATTTATGGTTTAAAAGCAAATAAATGATCACACTTGTAAGATTGCAATTCAAGAGATATATCCATCATTTAAAACTCGTTTTTAACATGAGAGCGAGTGCGGATATTTACTTAACGTTAAGATGCCATGATTCCGTTTCAATAAAATATGTCATGTATCGAAATTGTATCAAAGATTTATTACGAGTGTACTCCTGAATTTTCAGAAAATGTAAGGACATTTATCTGACTCCTTTAGGGTACGGAGATCGACTCTGACAACAGGAATTCCACCATTCAGTGTAAGTTACCATTTCGTTGTAGACAAGCAAGGCAGTTTTAACCGGGGTGCCGTGGCGCTGTGGCACCGCGAACCCTTCTCGGCAGTTGTGTTTTACTCCAGAACCTTTAGGGGTCTTTGAAGTCACGAAAGACGGATTTGAAGTGGATCTAAGACTGAAATTTTCGGTACTATCGGACCTTTAAATAGGATTCGGGGCCCACTAATCCGGGCCTGAAGGAGAGTCTTCCTGTATTCTCCTTGAGGAGTGCTCGTGTCCCCGATAGCGAAACTTCTTCAAAATAAATTTAGAAACAGGTAAACGGACATTATTTTGAAATAGTTTCCAAAAATGACCCGCTAATTTTGAGGTGACTATTGAGAGTTTCTCAGTAGGACCTTCGTAATGCATTCTCAATCCCAATGAACTTTTTGAGCCGAAAAATGAAACTCCTTAGAGTTCGCATCGTAAATCTATCTCTTTATCGTATTTTTGGTTTTGATTTCCCCTGGACATAATAAGTAACAAGCACTACTATTTACCTAGTTTTAAAATGCAAACATCGTTAATAACTATTACTAGGTATCCACTTTTAAGCGCTCAGCCGATAGGCAGCGCTTTTTGATCTCGACTTGTCTCTGAGTACTAGTATACTAGTGCTAATGCCTTTAAATGTTGCACCAGCTCATCGATGTGTAGGCTTTTTGGGGGGGTCCAGTTTTAAAATAAATAAAGCTGTGAAAACTGTATTTTATGCTTTTAACGTAATGCGCAGGTAGTTTCGATCGTTTGTCTATAAGACAATTTCTTAGCGGTAGAGTAATTCTTATCGAAATTGATCGTTAAACTCAAATGAAGCCTAAAAAAACGCGCCTGATGAGCTCAACGGTGAGCTCATTTTCGGGAAACAAAAATACGCGTTTACGGTTTCCTTGGTAACCTTTGTTTGCTATCAGCTGATGTTTTATTTCCATTTCCCAGCCAAGTCGACGGAGTTTATACGTCCTTTCTTCACTAAATACATTTACTAACACCTGAGCGCTTTTCTAATACGACAGTATTAGAACTTTCCCGATTGTTTTTTTTTTTTTTTTTTTTTTTTTTTTTTTTTTTTTTTTTTTTTTAATGATTTTCAAGTATCCTCTTTCAGGTCAGACAATGCGCTTACCAACTGTTCCCGAAATGGTCGTCGCCTGCGTCGCCTGGTTTGCGATTACGTCTGATGCCAATCAGGTGATACTATTTCCGGACGCTAATTTTGGTGGGCAAGGGTGCCCGATAACAGTGCAGGGCTGTAAGCCAGTCTGCGCAGGTATAGTACGGAAGGCATCTTCAATGAAAGGCGATGCACCATGTGCCCACTTCTATGGTCAACCCGGCTGCACGGGATACCTGGGCCAGTGGCATGCAACTGACGGGATGGCACCTAATTTTAAGGGAAGAGTTGGTCAAGACGCTATTGCCTCGGTCGGGGATTGCAATCAGCCAGCTGTGTAATTTTGTCCAAGCTATTGGCTCTCACCAAGGTGAAGCTACACTGGATTCTGGATTGCAATCAGCCAGCTGTGTAATTTTGCCACCAAAGGCCTTACCAAACCAAGGTTAGCTTTCACCAAAGTGTAGCCACACTATTTTCCTATGGGGGGCCGGGCCTCCTATAGAAAATTTAGACAAACTGACTGCATCTTAGAAGTATTCTAAGGACATTTGACGCCAAATATCATTAAACAAGCAGTGAACTCCAACACAATGTGTTGATAAGGCGCGTCATTAGCTCGCACATATCAACCCCTTTAGTTTTCATTTACAGAGATTTCAAAATAGGCAAGTAGCACAACAAGAGAATTCATACGATCCAACACTGAGAGGTCAACGACGCACTTTGACGAGACCGTGTATTGTGAATGTAAAAAGCCATTCGAACGAGTTTAAATTTTTGATCTGCCCCAAGCAAAACCTTATCAGATTCTTAAAGAAAAGTGCTGCGGAATAATTTAAGCGAGGAAAGAAAAAATTTTGTCGAACTCCTGAAAGATAAAGTCGATTTAAAGGTATTTTGGGGCTAAAATACCCAAATCACCGGCATTATAAATCCCGTTATATTATTGAAAAGAAATTGACTCGATGTAAATGCAATTGCATTAGATATGTCTCGATTTTGTTATTTTAAACGTATTTCCATGCAAAGAAATTCAACCATGCCCATGCTTTATTCATTCATGAATTGAAAGTAAGCAATCTACATCATCCCGAAAATCTACCGATTCGCCGTAAAAAATTGCAGAAACTTGATATACCAAGTCGATGCACCGACTCGTTGAATTTACCAACCAATTTCGTGAGTGCAAATATGTAAAAATCAATATGCTATAGTCATTTTGGGTGCATTTACTTTTCATGAAACAATAATAATTTCAATCCCGAAAAACCATCAATTTTCCGTATAAAATCGAAAAATTCGAAATGTGTCGACTCCCTGACGTGAACATTAGATTCTACGTGTAAAAAAACTCACGTACCGATATTCATATCAGAAAACCAGAACCAGAACAGAAACCATGTGTGGACACAGTCAGCAGTCCGCGGCAACATCCATTCAACAGAATAATGGTAAAAATTAGATAGGAGTTTAGCCGCTTTGCCCGCCTCTCCTCGTTATTTACAAACCGTTCCTATACTCATCTCAAAATTTTTCTCAGGGCTTTGTGTTATTATCAGCTTCCATTTAAATCCCGGTTCGATGACCGAATCGGCTGCCCAAAAAGCAAGCCATTTTTGAAAGGTTCTATGAGGAATTCGTGATATTATCGGCTCTCAGGAAATCACCCCATGGCTATAATTGGTGGTATAAATGTTTGAGTGCTTAAAATAATCGTATTCAAGGAACTAAGGCACTAAACTATGGAGTCAGTTTCTTTTTAATAATATAACGGAATTTACTCCCGGTGATTTAGCTATTATAGCCCCAGAATACTTTTAAAGCGCCTTTACTTTCCAGAATCTTGACGGAATTTTTTTTTAGCTTAAACGACTTAAGAGACACTGTAGTTAAAAAATATAAAGAATTTTCGATTTTGACAACAACAAAAAAATGTTCGTTCAGGCACACCGTGTATTGTATGGAGTACTGCTGCTATTCAAACCTTATCTTCAGGTCAAAATTCTTACAAGGAAGCCCCTTGCAAGAGGCGAATTTTTTGTAATTTCTCCCAATTTTTTCTCCGTTATATAATTGAATTGCTTGTCAAATTCTGAGGTCAATTATATTTAATTGTAATTTATACATTTCTTTTTTTCCCTTCGTTTTATTTTTTGTCTGGAGAAGTTTCGTTGATTTCTTCGGATTTCAAATACTGTAACTTCTCTTCTATTCGGCCGATTTTTATGAATGAGACTGCTTTTAATTCGTCTTTTAACGGAGAGTGAGGAAAAAATTGCTAAGTACACGCGAAACAATTTTTTTTGAAAATTGGACGAATCCTAGCGTGACGGTGAAATGGTTAATCAAGCGTAAAATCAAGGGTGAGGGTCCGGGTCGGGTCGCTTGGGAGGACAAAAGACACTGCCTCGGTGTCGGGACAGAGGTCCAGTGTGCGGGGAGGAGAAGGGTAAGTGGTTTTCTGTAAAAGCAAACTGATTTCTGTATGTGTTATGGTTAGCACATGGTCTAATGAGTTTTGAGGCTCATCACAGATTGCACTTACGTCTATCTTGGGTGGCCTTCGCTATCAGAGGAAAGGTACCAACTTTTGAAAAGCCTAACAGTGGTGTTGTGGAGATCTGTCAAAGCAACGTTATGAACGAAACGGAGGAGTAAAATTCTCATTCCTACAGTGCCAGCCTGGTCAGCCATCCTCGAATCAGTTCGCTTGTTTCTGCTTATATATGCATATTTTAAATCAGCGCGTCGCATTCTTAGGCTTTTTTTTAAAAAAACCAAGTAACGTAGACTCTTGGTATTCATTGCACATAAACTAGAAAGCCCCAGAATGAGAAATACATTAGAATCATAATTATTGACGGATAAATAAACTTTTTACACGCTTTGGAAAATCTCAGAAGTTCGCGGTAGTCACTTTTCGGTAAGGAACTAAGGGACTCGGTTATTGTATCGAGCAGGGTTCGAAACGATCGCAAAGGCGGTATACTACGTATACGCGCCAAAATTGTGTGGATTTTGTGATTTCTCATTTTATATTCGTTCCCCTTTGTTTGGGTTACATCTCGTCGTTTCCCTGACAACGGAACGTAATTCTATTCCGAGGGTGCAAAATTGATTTGAACAATTCAAATTTTCATGAGAATATGACTTTGCGATTCCCAGCCAATATTTTCCTGAATTTTGCGCTTACTCAGAAGAAAAATAAGTTAAATTTTAAGTAAGAAACGGCAAAAATTGTTCTGGCATAAATTCAATCTACTGGGGAAATCTATTATATATCTATTCTATCTATATATATATCTATCTATCTATATATCTATCTATCTATATATCTATCTATCTATTATATATCTATTCTATTATCTATATATCTAAAATTCAATCTATCTGGTGGGAATTTTGCCACGTTGAAATGTAGTTACGTCCTTTCGTCTGGCAAGCGATCCATATAGATTCAACCAGTGAAAAGCGATTCTGTGACTAACAAGTTGACTCATTAACAACAAAAAACCACTGGACCAAAAGAGCAGTTAAAAGAGTGTCTAAAACTCACTAAAATTTTGTCGGTGAGTATCTGCATTAGAAACCTTAGTCAAACTCTCTGACTCACCTTATAAAACTGCGAACTTTCCACTGCGAACATTTCTGTGACAAGTCGTGTGTTTGCCTGAAACCCAATTGATAAAACGTAATTTTAGAACAGAAAGCAGTATGCATGATCTCTTTCTGCATGATGGTGCAACGACGCAGTAATCTATGCGTAATGCGTAAGGATCCTGCATGAAATTTCAAGGACTAAAATTATTTTTTGGTTGAGAAAGTTTCTTAAAGGTAATCCGTGTAATTTTTACGAGCCAAGATTAAAACCAAGAACTAATAACCGATAATTATCGGTTATTAGTTTGTCGGTAAACTATGGTAAATTATGTAATTATGTAAATTATGGGAATATATGTCGGTAAATTATAATTTACCGACAAACTTCGATGTTCCGCTCATGAAATTTTTAAATTGATTTTTACTAGGCCTAGTCGTTTCATGAACTCATGGGTCTTTTTAACCTCAATACAAAACACAACCTCATTACAATATAAAAAACCCCATACAATTTCATTTTGATTTTTTAAAACTTCATTGACATTTTGTAAAACTTCATCAGATTTGAGAATTTTATCCCGAAAAATACCACTGAAACTACGTTATGGCGGTGACTTTAAACGAACCACGCAAGGAAGGCTTCATTTTTACGTGTATGCAACATGGGTATCCACAAAGCACCTATAGTTGCATGAAGGATTTGACATACATCGTTACATGCAACGCAACGTAACGACACGGACCATGAAAACGACACCAACGACGAAATTTTGAGAAGTACCTTTGAGCCTTCTTGAACTTGAAGCCTTCTTTAGAGTTCTTTAGGTGCATTGATTTCAATACGCATTCATTTAAAGCAATTCAAAGGATATTTTAAGTCAAGGAAGTTTCACGGACCTCTTAAAATTTCAGTTCCAGAGAGATGTCATATTCAGTTATTGTCATTTGTCTTATTTGTCTGTCATTTATTTAATCTTTGTATTCACCTCTTTTTCTCCCTGTTTCCACATTTTCAAATTTTTCCTTAGATTGGGATCCAAGCCAACATATTCTACAAAAAATTACCGTCAATGATTTTATACCGGGATTCCACGTTGTCCAGGCGCGGGAAGATAGTTCTTCAGCTCAGATGTCAAAACTTGTTTCCTCGTTAAAAGCTCTTTTACAACATCGGGTTGCAAGCTGGTATCCTGTTTTAAACTCGACGAATCATAGCCTCGCACTGGAAGTAGATAAAAAAATGACCCTTACATTCATTCACAGGATGGGTTCATGAGGGGTGTCTATGATGGGGGAAAACAAGCTGAACCTTGAAAACAGTAGACGCAGAGAAGATTTATTAAACGATGTTCCGATTAAAATTAGGTGCAATGGATCGCAAGACAGTATCTGAACTAGAAATTATCTTCAAAATACTTTACAAGAATTCTCTTCGAAATCTTACGTAAAAAACGAATCACACAGCGGGAATTCCAGAAATCAATTCCTGAACGAGATATAAGCAAACATGTTTAACGCAAATCAAATAGAAGTTAGATCGATGACTTCATCTGTATTTTTAAAATTTAACCAATGATAGTTGCAAACACTTATATCTCGTTTAGAAGTTGATTTTAAGGCCTTCCGTTGCTCGGTTCGTTTCTGTCGTGAAATTTTGAAGTGAAAACACCTCGCGTAGTGTTTTAATTCGTGTACCTTGTCTACAGCCCCATTACCAGGCAACTTTGTCTGTGGGCCAAGTTAAGCCAAAGAGTCAAAGTCAAGTCAAGTTTGAACCGAGAAAAATGGATCTAAAGTTTTATTTCTCCATGTTCAATGTCGATGATAAAGTTTTATTTTTATATTCTACCAAAAATAGATATTTTTCCTCGACTTTGACTTTTCCATGAGAGGAAATGTGACATTATAGCTGAGCTCACAACTATTCCTAAGTAACTCGGACTTCCATAAAATGTGGTTTGGTTCCTTTCGACTCAATTTGGTGCAGTTTATAAGATACACACGTATACACGCACATGCACGTAATTTCGTGTAGGATATTTTGATCAGCAGAATATCTTTGTATTGGATCGCAGTACTCACCCTCTCCCTTCTCAGAAATGACGATGAGTTGATTGGTGCCGGCCAAGCGGTAGTCGCCACAAACGATGCCTGCGATCCCGTGGGATAGCGCATCCCGGAAAATCACTTCGCCTGACAAACTGTTCCGCCCGTCGATTTTCCCGTTCGACCAACCGACAATAAGCTCCTCCACACCGTCCCCGTCTATGTCGAAACTTGCCAGGCATCGAGCCAGGTTTTTTGACTGGAAATCGTAAAAGTTTGCTCGATCAGAGTTCGAAAGTTGAACTGAGAAGCGTATAATAGGACGATTTCTTGTCAAACAGCGAGGTCCAAAGGCGGAACCAGGTATCTCCATTGTCGTGTCCCAAATCTCCATTCTTATATTTTTAGAAAAGAAACTGGTCAACGTTATAACTTGAAATTTAATAGAATAGAATTTTTATTGATGCATACAGCCTGTAGTAAAAATCTCTGGCACAAGTCCATGGGCGTTGCTAGGGGGGTCCTGGGGGCCCCCCCCAGAAATCTCGTGGCCCCCCCAGAAAAACGGGATCCTTCATTCCTCACCCCCTCCCCCGCTCTCTTCACCACGAGAGGTGGTCCCATGGCCCTCCCCACAGAAATTTCGTAGCTACGCCCCTGCACAAGTCAAATTTATAATTATAGAACATTACAATTTTACAAATTCACAACAATTACAACAAATTAAGCAAAATGAAATTATATAGGTTCGTCGAAAAATTCTCTTAGACTATAATAGGCTTTATCTTTGAGTTTTATTTTCAATTGGTTAAGGAATATTTTGACGGAACTTTCCCTGTACATTACTTTCAATTCGCTAGTCAAGGTGTTGATGATGATTGATTTATGCACAGAATATTCCAGCGGCGAGGCATGCTTCTAGGTACACTGATTGATCTGCCATTTAAACCCATGAAAAAGGATAGATAAACAGCGAACACCTCAAAAATCGATTTTTTACCACAGCTTTAAATAGAGAGATATTGATAATCGACCATTCACGCCTCACCGCACTGGAATATTCTGCTGCTGACAGAGAAGCAAACTCCAGGAGACTATCAAGCAATTACGTTGACCAGTTTTCGAAAGAAAGAATAAAGTACGCCATGAAGTCTGCGACAGTAGTAGGGAAATAGGGATTTGAACTCAAAAATTACATGGGCCTTATGGGAGATAAAATAACACGGGTTCTTACGGGGACTTCCTTCTACACGGTGCGTATGCGAGCGAGCCTCTGGGCCGCGGTCCTTCCCCCCNCTCTGGACCGCGGTCCAGAGGCTCGCTCGCATACGCACCGTGTAGAAGGAAGTCCCCGTAAGAACCCGTGTTATTTTATCTCCCATAAGGCCCATGTAATTTTTGAGTTCAAATCCCTATTTCCCTACTACTTGCGACGTCGCAAACGGAGACGCGTGGTTTCGCACTTTGGCCGTCGTTGTACTTAACCGAGGATAGAAAATCCATTTATTTTGATCACTTTGTGTCGAAATTGTATTTTCTAAAAGAGTACCTCAAGTTCTTTATGGTTCTGCTTAAAAAAAGAAGACTCTATTAAGAGCCATGGATTTCGACGTAAATACTGCAGATACTGTAAACAAATTACATAGGATGATCAAAAATGATCGATTCCTCATTGTAAACTCTAATGTTTTCTCACAGTAAAATTGACCGTATAGGTACATGTAAATTATTTCCAAAATTAATCATGAAATGAATAACTGCTTCAGTAATTTGATAGAATGATTCTGAGCTGAAAGTAGGTCAGGCACTGCTGTGACTTCATTAAGTCAGGGAAAAACGGGATTAAATAATTTAATAATTGTCTCACGTTTATTTAACAGCTTCCTTACAGATATTTTAGTTACTCGGTCTAGTAGTAAAAACAACATCTAAATTTGCTGATTCAGCCAAAAATGGCATGCCAAACCACTCGCGATGGCTCGCTCCACTGTGCGACTTTGGAAAGATTTTTCCAGCGGACTGATTATTGGAATTGAGAAAAAGTGACGGACAAAAATAAAATGAAGCGACCCTATTGGTTCCAATGGACAGAAGCCAGGTGATCAATAGACTGACGGCAACCTACGAGAGATACTTGGACTGCATTTTGCAATTTGGAACTATAAATTCTGGCTCTTCTGAAAAAACACTTATGTGCATAGGGAAACTAATGGCACATACTTTGTTTTTAAACCGAGCTACAATTTATAGTTCCAAATTGCAAAATGTAGTCCACTTTAGTTAGTGCATAATTTCCCTCTTCGTCTATAACAAAACAATCACCCGTTTCGACTAAAAGAATCGCTCCATACTTTCAATTTTTCTTCTTTGTCTATTGCTATGTCTATCAATTCCAATAATCAGCCAATATTTTGGATTCTGAAACACTGCATCTTACCTTCACTCGCCAAACTCGCTGCGTCTTATTATAAACACCGATGGTTCCGTTGGATAGTGCGTAGGCGTATTGGGAGCCACGAATACTGACCAAGGCTGTGACTGCAGCCGTCTCCGTGATCTCGTGAGTGAGGACATCCTCCTTGAAAACCCTTAGTTCGTAGTCATCTGATCCAACGATCAACTGTCAGGATATAGAACGTGCAATTAATTAAATGCTCAGGACAAATTTGAAAAAATTCCTCCAATTAAGGCGGCAGCGCGACGATGATTTTTATGTTTTCGTGGGCGGGAAGTTTGGATTGGAGGCAGAGGGTCCAACTCTTCATTTCTCTGGCGTAAGGGCGTATCTCGATTTCCGCATGAGCCTCAGAAAGCATGGGTTTATATGGACAATAGGGCTCACATGGATATTGAGATACGCCCTTACGTCAGAAAGTTATGAATTAAGCCCCGTATGCTGTTCAACCGCATGTGCTTCACTCTCCTTCTACGCTATCTTGCCAAGGAGAAACAAACGCTGTATAAGCTTTCAGACGTTGCCAAATTTTCTTCGATTAATCACGAATTTTCAAGAAAATTTGTAAATAATTTTCTTCCGATTTTCCAAGAATTTTATTGTAGTTTAATCTGAAACGTCTGGAAATTTCAAGGAAAAATATTCATAATTTACCTTAGAAATGAATATTCTCTGAGAGGAAATTTGGCATCATTTGAATGCTCGCAAGGTGTTTTTCCTTAACACGGCAAGATGTACCACTGCTACAATCAGTGAAAATTAAAGCATTAAGATTTACTTTCCCTCTTCAAAATTTCATGTATAGCCGGGTTTAATCAACGGAAAGGGCTGAAAGTGACTCCTTTTAAATGTATTAACGTTTATCGATGCATGAATTCCATAAAATTATGCTAGATTCCCGTTCATAAAACAATAACCTACAGCTCACAGAGCCCTTGAAACTTCGCCACAAATAAGAGAAACGGAACCAACACAACATGGAATTAGAATAAAGGAAAGAATGCGCGTTGATGACGGCGCAGAGATACAACTATTCGTACTTGATGGATGTCCATTTTGCATCTGCAAAATTGAAGGCGCGATGGCGCGAGCCGTGAACTCGAAATGCTCCGCTCCATGCTGTCAATGAAATTGAGTGCAATTGAAATGCTCACACGGCGAGTGGCTGCACTTCTATCATAGTTCATGTCTACGAGCTATCATTGTCATTTACCTCATTGCATCCGTCATCGTTCAAGTCTGCAAGGCACAAGGAGCGGACTTGATCCCCGGTCACCGTCCAAAATGCGTCCTCGCCTGTCGCGTTGAATCCTTGCAAAACGCAGTTACCGCCAACGATGACCATTTGCTCCCCACTTCCAACTTGCCCGATCTGTAGTACGTTTGCTCCATCTGAAACCTAAACGAACAACTTAACGAAGTGTTTGAAAGGTGTTGAAATGCATTGAGTGGCATTTACCAGAATCGTTCTAGACGTTACTCAAGACGTTTCCTACATTTATCTCATGTTTAGTTTTTTTTTTAAAAAAAGCTGAACATGGCATTTTGCCTCGAAAAATTGCGAGTATTTAGCAGATTCCTAAGGACATTGACGAAGGGTTTCAAGGCGTTATGCCGCTTGGTTTCCGTATACAAAAATGAAATGTGAGAGTTAATAAGTTCAGGTGAAAAGCGTTAGGCTGATTCTAATAAAATTTGACTGAGTGTCAAGTCGATACTGTTTGACTTAAGTGTCTCATTTTCTTTCAAATTTTACGTTTAATGAGATCACAAGATTCTGTACTGTGATGCTAGTAACACCTTATATACCAACTTGAGTTATCCCGTTCGGAGTTGGGACAGGCGAAAAGCTAAGATTTTCCTTCATTTTCGCGTGATACCACATACTCCGGAGTTCGAATAATTGCGCACTTGGTTTCCTCATTTCACGATGCGCGCATAAAACCTGCTCCTACATTCGTCATTCATGCAGTGGTGTGGTGAAAAAGGGAGAAGTAACGCGATCTTCATCTCGATATTGCGAAAATTCAGCGATTATTCCAGTGCATTCGTAAAATGATATGAAATTAGGCAAGTCTCGCATCTCAAATTTGCATAAATCACGCGATTCTCCAAAAAAATTAGAAATAATTACGCCATAGCAACTTTAGTATCGCGAGTAAGACGCGCTTTTCCAGCGTAGTGTAAAACTACAAAAAATTGCTCGTTTTTCACTTCAATATTGCGGTATATACGTGATTTTTTCAGCAATTTCGTAAGAATATAAAGATCACACAATTTTCTTCGTAATATCGCGGATAATATGCGATTTTGATTACGACGTGGACAGAACATTCATAAATGTCAGTAGTTTGGGACAGAGGAAAAGGTAAGATTTTCCTTCATTTTTTCGTGATACCACATACTCACTCCGGAGTTCAAACAGTTGCGGGCTTGGTTTCCTCATTTAACGATGCGAGCATAATAAGTACCTGCAATCCTGCATTCATCAAACATGCAGCGATATTGTGAAAAAGTGGGAAATTACCCGATTTTCATCTCGTTATCGTGAGAAATACTCGATTTTTCCATTAATAAATTTTCTGAACTTACTTTTTGATAGAAGACATCACTGTTATTGTCAACATGATAAACAAGGACGCTATCCGGACTTCCAATGACCAGGACCTCTTTGTCCTCGTCTTGACTTAACTTTCCAGCGCATAGTGAGGTAATTTTCTGCTCCACATTCAGAAGTGAAATTTCGTTGTCACGCCTGTACGGACGATGGATAATCACCTGCAAAGACATCACCTCCAGATTGATAAATACGGCAGTAGCAATCGTTGGAAAGAATTCTTCTTCCTACACAGAATTCTTAGAAAGTAGTCGATGGCAACTCAATAATAAGAGCGGCAACTTAAAGTTTCTGAATCGTACTTCAGCGTAATTGAATCGGTCTTGGTAGAAAAGCGTAAGTCCAAGAGACTAACTTTTACAGTAAAGGCTAGTAAACAATTTTCTCGTCAAGCTGGATAATAACATATTTTTTGGAGTGTTCTTCTAGGATGTTTAACGTCTATTTGAAAATTCTGAAAGAATATTTTCGATGGGAATATTTTTAGTACGATTTTAGGCCATAATTTGAAATTCTGTGCTTACTTCCTTTCTGAGGAAAATAAAAGAAAACTGAGTCATTCATTGGTAAAAAAAAAGTAGGGAAATTTTGAGACACCGCAATGATGATACCGCGGTTTGATAATTTGGCCATAGATATCGACGATGTAAGTCGGCAATCACATAACTAGGTTTGCAACGTCGTAGACTTCCTTTCATACTTTATTTTTTAAACGAAAAATTACACAACGGCAATTCTTTAAAACTGCTGTCATTTTTCTTCTCTGTGCGAAGAAAATTCTGCAAAAACTTCAAGGAATGATGCCAATTTGTTCTCCTTTAAAAAATAACATAGAGGCGGAGACTTTCAGACACCGCAAACGAGATAAGCGATAGTGGACTTACGCCGTCGACATGTTGTTTCTAAAAAGAGCCTAAATAGAAGTTCCTCATCGCAAAATTGATGTATTTCTGCTGAACGGAACCAGAGACAGGAGGGAAAGAAGGGATAGGGGTATGCTCGTTGCCTTAAGAATGAATGGGAATTATAAAGCGCCAGTGACGTCAGCGGTAACGAAGTCGTCGCCGTTGTAGTTCGTGGCCCGAATTAACTCATGAGCCCTGTCCACGACGCTCTTGTCTAATGCCCACGGCTCATGAGTTCCGTATACAATTGACGTTTGGTACTCCGTTCGGTAGAATGTAGAATCCCGCTTTTACATTTTCCCGAAGGGCATCATGCCCACTCTTACATAGTTTCTTATCCAGGTTTCTAAAGCACACTCTATCTTTCTCGCACACGTCCTTAGTTTAGCAGAGATACGTCAAAATATGGTTAAATTTTAAATATCTTTTTTTGAATCTATTGTAACTTGAACTACAAACTCCTAACCGCCTTAACCTCAGTCTGGGTTGACACCTCTAGGCGTTTCTCGTTTCCAATTGTGTGAAAAAGTCACACATTTTATACTAAAAATACGGGGAAAAGTTAATTTCCCTCATCACACGAGGAAACCAACATCTAACAAATCATGCGGCATCGCTCCCTGAGCAAATTTTTTCAAACATACCTTGTCTCCAACAGTGGCAGCTGTAATGCAGTAATGAGACCCATCATATTTGCCGATTGTCACTAGTCCTGGTAAGATATCATAGTTTAATTGCAGAGTAAAAACTGCCACCGCCATCGTTTGTTGTAAAACACGTGACTTTGATCAAAGTTGTGGTATTCATGTAGGAAGCAGTTTATTGCAAGTCCACACGTTGTTAATTAATATTTATTTTCATGGTCATTAAAAAAAAATTACTAAAGCAAAAAATCACACACACTGGGGTAAACTTAATGCTTTTAATGTTAATGGAAAACACCTTTCTGTTCACATGTCTCCGACTCTGCCTTTACAGCTCCGTATTATAACTTTATTTTCTTGACTCAAGAATCAGCTAGAAAAATTGAGGGAAGTTGTTAACCCCATGAAAAAGCTGGGAGACCCAAGTGAATCTAAGGAAAAGTAAATATTTGTGCGCTTATTATGAGCTAAAACACTTTCGGCATCGAATTTGGGGTTAAGTAGCAGCATACTCTCACTTGAGGAGTCTTGTTGTTTTGTTTCCAAAGGCCGGTGCGGTTGCTAGGCAACCGTTTAGGGCTCAGTTTGGTCGGCATGCGGAGGGGATTTTTACTTACACGCGGAATGTAATGGGGGTACGTACATCAATGGTTTTTTCGACCTGTATGTCACGGCCACTTACCCTGAGTGGCTGTTAAAATAACAATATTCTGCCTCTCAAATGGACTGTAATGTTCCCTCTACGCATGGAGCTTTAATGCGAGTTGTTGAATAAAATTTTATCGATTAGTGGGATTCTTTGACTTTTATTTAACTTTCTGTGTCACGATTGGCGCTTTTTTATAGTCCTGACGTATGACTTTAATGTGAATTTGAATATTCTTTTTTTTTGAATGGGAAAAAATTATCAGGATGACTTGAATTGAAGGACACCGTATAAACAGTAAGAGCCGTATGAACTCGAGAACTCGAATTTTGGAACTCGAGAGTAGGTCAGTTTTGTCCACGCTGAAATTCGAGGAAGTTTTAGAAGGATTTCAGAACGAAGTAGAATATAGAAAAACTTTATTCATGTTTTGAGTAAAAATCATCGCTGCCCAAGAGAGTATGCATGTATGATAATAATGATTTTTCACCGATAGAAATTGAAAATAACGCTCCTCTTAAAAATCTCTATAAGTCGCGGATGTAAAATATATCTTCTTACTTGTCAAACGACTTGTTAATCTCTCATATTTTTATACACTTTTAGGTGACAAATGATTAAAATCCATTTTTTGGATTTGTTTACAATGTAAAACTTGATTGAATTCCTTCGGCAAAAGGAATCTCTCATTTGTCGAGACAAGAGCTAAGATTTTCAAAAAATTTTATCGGTTGCGATAAAAGTTTTTGGAAATAAACTATGTGAAGACGATTATTTAAGACATTATGACGACCATCAATATGAGTTGCTATAAATCATGGTATTTGGGGGATAAAAGTTTAGTGTGCGATCTTGTAAATACGAAGAAATCGCCTCTCTCTAACAGTTGACCGAATAGGCAACTATTTGGGCTAGGGTGCGACCATTCTTGCCTACACGCGGAATTGTTCCACAAAGATGTTACGTTGACTTTTCGGCAAAAAATCTGAGATGAGTTTAATACTTGAAATTAAACAAAAAGAGGCGATTAAGAGAGAAAGAGGAATTTAAGAGGCGATGCTGATACTCTCCGTCGATATAGTTATTTTCAAGGATGTCAATCAATTTATATGTTTTCGGATGCAGTAAAGCAAGATCTTTTCATTTACATATTCAAAAAAAAAGAAAAATTAGAAAATAAAGTAAATTAATCAGTTTGCAACAGTTTGTAAGTAGCTAAAATTAGTTTTTTTGTTGGTAGTCGCCCATACCTATTAACTTTCCTTATTCTAGCCGGGTGATGCCACTCCTTTCAACTTAAATTGATGCAATTTTCTAGAAATCCCATATCGATAGTTCTGTTGTAACCGTTGCCATTTCGGTAAAACGGCAAATGAGCTTTCCCTTGCAGAATAATTTTTTCTCTACTAAAAGGTGCACTTCTGTCAATTTCAGTGCATGTTTTGAGATCTGTTGAGGTCAAACCCCTTTTGAGTCCCAAAAAATTGTGCAAAATTTTAATCCCTCTGAACAATCTGCCCCCTCCCCTAAGAATTAATGGAAATGGGTTTCTGACCGCCAGGGTAAAAGCAACAATTAATACGGAACCTCCTTAAACATTCTAGGGACGAAAGAAGACCTCTACTTTCAGAACTACACCATTTAAAGTAATTCTATGCGATCTAGTGACGAGATTCCAATGACGATTGTGCAAGTTGGCTACACTATTTTTCTTACTTTTAAATCCATTAAGGCCTCGATACACCCTTAAATTTCTGTCAATTTCCGATCAGAATGCTGACAAAAATGGCGGTCGAAAGTCAACTAAATTGTTATCTAAAATTAATTAAAACAGTGTGTTGATCGAAATAAGCATGTAATAAGCACGGTTGTGTGGAAATCAAATGACGGATGAGACTCATAGCTCCATCATCTATCATCAAATTTTTGCAGGCCGCGAAAAATTTATTGTAGATGGTGCGCACCAGTCACCACTTGATCGAAAATTGATGGGAATGGTTTCAGGACATTCTGTCAACGATTTTTTGTCCGCACACTTGTTTTGTCCATTAGTTTACGTCCACGCGTAAAATAAGCAACAGTGACTCGGTCTAAGTGTTATATTTTTTTTCCATGTAATGTAATGTAATATTATAATGGCAGTATCAAAATGAGAAAATTAAGACTCTTAATCTGACTCTCTCTCTCTCTCTCTCTCTCTCTCTTAATTTGAGAGAGAAAGAGGTGTTGTTATGGTAACTCATTTTTTAAATTTTTGATTTAAAATATATCTTGTATATCGCTTTTTTTAATTTTTTTAATGAAAATATTACTTCATTATAAGAACATTTACATTTTTAAAACATGGCAAATATTTGTAAAACCTTTTCCAAGCGATGGCATCGATATCAATCTCAATGAGCCGTAGTTGGGTTGAAAGAAACTGTACACAAAAATGAAAGGAAGAGACGCAAAAATCAAGAAGCTCGCAATCTTTAGTTTTAAACCATTTGTACATCGATCTTTTAGAGTCAAATACGTCCAATTTTGAGCGTTTGGTTGCACGTATACCACGCTGCAGCCCGGTAAAAAGCGCAAAAGATGAAAGAAAAAATCAAAGTGCTTTGAAAATCATTAAATTTGACACGGAACCACCTTAATAATTACAAAACACGAGTCATATTTTCCTCGTCTACTTATTTTTTCCATCAATCTAAATGAGAATAATCCATGCAGAGTGTGCGAACATTTCAAAATCATGAGTTGAAAATCGCTGATTCCGCGACTTTAAATATTAGAGCCTAACGCAGAGCGGAGCGGCGTGCTGCCAGCGCGAAACGCGCATTGGCGCCTACAAACCTAAGGGGATACTTCACGCATCGCGCAATGCGTGCCACGGCGCCTACAAACCTAAGGGGATACTTCACGCATTGCGCAATGCTTCAAGTATCACCTTAGGTTTGTAGGCGCTAATGCGCGCTAGCCGGCCGGCCGCCGCAGCGTGTCACGGCGCCTTATTAAACAACTATTTCACAACAGAGGTGTTGCACAGTACCATACGAAATTGAAGGCGCTCTAACATATTGAGAATGGCAGGCATCATTTAAGAATACGGAGCTTCCCTCGCAAAATAGATCGAGATACTACGGCACAAAAGGAGAGCGGTAGTCCAAAAACTTCCTAAATCCTAGCATCTATATTTAATGACATGTAGCACACAATTTGCCAAAAAAAGCGTGGACGTAAACTACTGGAAAAAAACAGGTGCGCGGACAAAAAATCGTTGACGAAATGTCCTTTAATCGATGGAAATTTGAGAGTGTATCCAGGCCTTTAAGAATATAGATCGTAGGTGACGCAAGCTGCCTCACTTAGAATCGATTGTTTTACATACTTTAAATGGAAGAAAAACACTGTTGCCAACTTTCAAAAATTGCCACTGCGAAATTTGCCACTACGTTACGGTGCTACAAAGTCTGTGTCTTTATGAAGCAACAATCATCGCATTGTACGAAGCAATGTAAAGAACTATAATCCGTAACGTGTAGCAGCATAAATACTGAGTAATATGACATCAAATTTGTAAAAAGATGGCAAGCCTTAAAAAGACCAAAAAGGACCAACAGCTGGGTGATCGGTGATTTGTTTTAGTCTTTCGTAGATGTGTAAGAAATTTCCTGACTTTTTCCTCGAATTCCCTAGCTTTCTCTTACTTTCCCCGGTCATCACAAATTCCCTGATTTTTCCGGTTTTCTAGACTGCCGGCAACCCTTTGCCAGTTCGAACCGCTATCACTTCCACTCTGAAAAAAAAACTCCGGCCGTGAAAGCCGTACGTACGGGCCATATAGACATGTCATCCGCGTTCTTGGCTCAGGAGGCTGAAAGCTCCGGGTACATTTCCCGGAGCAATCGAAACTACGGCTCAGAGGCTGAAACTACGTTTCGGCCTCTGAGCCCGGAACGTACGTTATGTCTATGTAACCCTTAATTATTTTCCAGTTCATTTAGTTCGGTGTAAAGGATTTGAAAGCAAAACGCAGGAGTTAAAAAATAATTACTCGCTATATATTATAACAATTTCGGTTTGGGCAAGAATGAAAAGTTACACTTGGTCATGTGGGTGGGTGGATCTGAAGCGGAGGAAGAGCCGAGGTAAATACTATTTCTTCTTCTTCAGCTTGGCGCCGCCGGGCGAGGGGGACGGGTGGCGGGGGGCGGGGCCCCGGGAGGCGTCGGCCGTCGGGGGCGGGGCCTCGCCGACGGCCGTGATCTGGACCTTGGGGACGGTGAGCGGGCGGATGAGGGACTTGACCAGCGGCGGGACCTTGGTCGAGGAGGGGAGCACGGGGGTGGAGGCGCAGAGGGCGGCGCTGGTGAGCTGCGTGACGAGGGAGAAGTTGCCGGGGGTCTGGACGCTGCCCGGGTGGGAGGTGGTGCGGAAGGCCTTGCGGAGCTTGGACTTGATGCTCGTCGTCGCGGGGGGCGGCTGGGCCTGGAGCACGGCCGCCGGCGGCTGGAGCTTCCCGTTGACGAGCCGGGGGCCGAGGTCCGAGTCGCTGCCCCACCGCCCGTAGGCCGTCGTCCGCTCCAGGAGCCGCGAGCGGGCGAACTTCTCGATCACCTCCGCGCAGACGTAGCGCCCGCAGAACCGGGCCCACTGCTCCGCTCGCAGACCCCGCCCGGAGTCGCGCATGATTGGGGAAGCACCTGCAACAAGGAAATATTATCATCAGTGGCGTGGCGTGAATTGTGATATATCGATTGTGGTGCCATTTAAACCTATGAAAAAAGATCGATTATCAGGGTGTTCGCAGCGAACGCCTTAGTAATCGATTCTTTAACATAGCTTCAAATGGCGAGATATCGATAATCGATTATTCACGCCACGCCACTGAATTCATCATCACTCGGACGGCTATATCCATGCTAAAAGGAACCAGCGGGTTGATTGTTGAAATTGGGCGTATTTCTATCAAACAGACCTATGTGCGAGTGAGAAATATAGGGTGTGCTCGTTAGTTCTCTGACCGTAAGAGTGAATGAGAATAATAAAGCGCCAGTGACGTCAGCGGCGACGAACGAGGGTGGGCGCGGCGGGGAGATCGTCGTCGGGGCGCTTTAACACCGCAATCACACGCTGAATGTGGGAGCTGAATGTGGCTTGAATGTGGAAGTCGTCGGCCCGATGCCTGAATTTTGCGCGTCACGCGCAACGATTCTCAGCAACCATCGGACCAATTTTGAATTTGTCTGAACTATTCGAGTAGATTTGATACACATCTGGATGAAAATAACTCGAATTTGCTAAATTTCAGCCGTTGGGCGATGACTGTTGCCTTCCACATTCAGCTACTAAATTCAGCGTCTGATTGCGGCATGACTCATGAGCCCCGTCCACAACGCTCTCGTCCCATCCTCGCGGCTCATGAATCCCGTATTCAGTTGGCACATAGGATAGGTCTGTTTGATAGAACGTAAAATCCCGCTTTTCCAATTCTTCAAAAGGAATCACGCCCACTACATTGCTTCTTATGCAGCTTTCTAGAGCACATCCCATATTTTCTTCTGCTTATAGGTCTGTTTGGTAGGAATACGTCCAATGGATGGACAAAACTATAGACAAAGAAGACATAGGGAGTATGGATCGATCCTACTGACTGAAATGGGTGGTTTCTGTAGACTAAGGGAGAAAACAATGGACTATCTAAAGGGTTCCTCGCGGGTTGCCGTTAATTAGTCCATTACCTACCTTCTTTGTACATTTGCAACCCGCCTGCTTACATCAATTGGATCTCTTCACATCCATTTTGTCTTCTTTGTCTATCGCTTTGTCTACCAATTTCAACAATCAGCCTGCGGAGACAGGTGGGAAAGAAGGAGTGTGCGCTCTTTAGTTGAGGGCCGTAAGAATGAATAGGAACTGTGAAGCGCCAGTGACGTCAGTGTTGACGCTGGGGACGAAGAGGTCGCTTTCGGGAGTCTTTAACTCATGATCCCTGCCCTCAATGCTCTTTTCATATTCCCACGACTCATGAAATAGCATATTTTGCCACATAGATCCTTTTGATTTAATGCAATGCCCCAATCGGAATCACGCCCATTTTTACATTGTTTCATTATGCGGCTCAAACAAGCACATCTCATCTTTTCCACACGTCTCTAGTTCCTTTTAGCAATAAATACGTTCACTTAACTAAACACTAACACTAAAAGCATAGAGAAAATAACTATACATGGGCGAAACGAGGAACTTTGTTTGTGTGTGGGGGAAGGGGTAGTTTAAGAGTAAAATGTCTACTGTGCTGTGGAAAAATCTCCCCTTTAATTTTCGCGAGTTGCCAAATTTCCTCCAGTAAAGTGTTTCTTTTTAAGGAGAGTTCTGAATACTTTTTCTTAAAATTCTCAGACGACATAGATATTATTGCGAAGAAAATTCTCTGAAAAACTGAATGATAAACGTTCACAAGTTTTCCTGGACATTCGTATTTGATCCAAAAAAATTCGGCGACTAACGAAGGTTTATACGGCGTTTTTCTTTAGCACGGCAGTAATAGAGTAGATATGGAATGAAGCGCCGACGATGTCACTCAGTAAGACTATTTTGTCCGGTGCTTCTAAGAGCTATCCGAGATTTTCAAAGTTTTTCTTTTTCTTTTTTTTTTTTGCCAAATGACAAGTTTTCAAATGACTTTGTAAGTATGACAGAAAAAAATGCATTTATGAATAATGGGAATGAGCGGACCCAGGGCTTAGGGGGCGCATAGGGGAACTACGCATCCCCTGCTGGCCCGCGCAAAGTCAAAGAAGAAGGAGAAGGAAGAAAAAGAGAAGGAGGGAGCCAAGGAAAGAAGAAGGAAAATCGCTTACATTTGATAATTATTCATGCCCAGATTGACTCAAACTGCATATTAGATGCTTCAAAAATACAACGATTTTCTGGGAGAGTGCCCTGGACCTACCTTACGCCCCCCCCCCCCCCGTTCGAGGTGTCTGGATCCGCCTATGATGATGAAATATCGAATATATGATAAACTTACCTGCACATAAAAGTAATTTGGCACATTTAGTTCGTCCTTGTAATGCAGCTTTCATCAAAGGAGTAAAACCTAAATTATTCCTAGGATCTATTTCAATATCGGAGCACCGACATAGTAAAAAATTAAGCACCTCAACTTGTCCTGCAAGAAAAAAAATGACAATATTAGTAAGAAAATCGTGGCAACTTTGTATCCCGTAAGATTTTCTTCACCTCCCTCCTAAAAATCCCTCCGTTGGTCAGAAATCCCACATCGCTAGTGCTTGTCAGTGGTAAGTAGTAATAGTATAAAAAAGAAAGAGAGATACAGAAGGATACACTGATCAAGACCGAGAATTATTGGCAATTTGTGCACGATTTCAATGGTTCTCAACTGGGATAATAAACATACTGCGATAAAAGAACCATTCTTTTAAAACTTTTTGCTGGTTATTGTTTTGCGCCAAACCGTATTTTCGCTGTTTCTCAGACTTTTTAAAATTTTTCCTGCTTCCTCGAAAATTCATCTAAAACTACTCAATCTGTTTCCATGCAATTTTCACAGTTGAATGTACTAAAAAGTGATTTTTTGGGTTAAATTTACCGCATAATTTACCAGAAGGAGCTGCTTAATGATATCCTCTGCGTCAAAGGATTTCTATCATAACCCTCCCCCCTCCATTTATTTCCCCAAACTCCTGGAATTTTACCACATGTCTCTCTCCGTTCTCTGCTATAGATAGGAGGTGAAGCTCATCCTTTTTAAGCGTTCACCACGTTAGTAGTGTGCGCTCTTTCCCGTCGTTTTGCATCGGGTATGTTACTAATGTGTCATGTGTCCATTGGTAAAGGCCCGCACTGCTCCATGGGAATCGGCGCCATTTTTCGTGGCGGAAAGCAATACCTAGTTTCTCAATTTTTTTATGTATAATTTCTACCTTTTCTCTCCTCTTTTGTCCACTTTATGTAATGCCTGTGGGCTTGTCTTTGAGAAATTGATATATTTAAGTTTTAAAATTCTGCAAAGTACTTTTATTTAAGGTCTTTCAAGGACCGTTCAAATTTTTTGTCGTCGTAGTTCTAGAAAAATCTTTGGGTACAAAGTACCCCTTCACTAATGACTCCTATATTTTACTCTATGAAGACAAAGTCATTGCTTATATAGATGTATGTTTCATAGGTTACGCTCCACGTTTAGTTCAACAGCGTCTTGCAGCGCTCTCTTCCGTCTGCACAAAACCACTTTTACATATTGACGAAGTGCTACGGTGAACCAACGTCTTAACGTTGGAACCGTCGTCTTGTTTTTCATTTAAGCTTGTTTTATTTACGAGCTACAAAGTTCATATTGACGAACATATGTAGTAACATTAATTGATAAAAAATTAGCGATTTTCAGTTGCTGTGTCACCTACCTGCCTGAGCGGCGAAATGCAACGGGGTATTTCCTTCATTATCTGGCTTATTTACATCTATTCCAGGCACATTGAGTAAATCTTCCAAGGCACGCACGGACCCGTTCGCTGCAACGTAGCTCAGAGCCGTCTGCAAAAGAAAATGAAGTCGGTTTTAGAATTCAAATAGTCGATGCAAAATTATTAAATCAATTGGACCGAGTTTACCAGAAAGGAACCAACCTACATACAGTTGAAACTGAGATTAAGAGGTTTGAGGTTTTATTCTTCCATAAGACTCAATAAAGAAAATAAACCTCAACCTCTCTTTTCACAGACTAATTTTCTTTTTCGACTTTGTGTTTTCGGCAGGAGAAAATATTCGACTAGTGCAACTCAAATACATTCTTACCTTAATTTTTTCAAAAATGTAGGTTGGTTTCTTTCTGATAAACTCGGTTCAATTAGGCAAAATTGTCGAATTTTGAAATTATAATCGGATCATGGCACTCAATTTGATACCATCAGAAAAAACAACTTAATCGGCCCGAAACATCAAAAGAGAAACAACTTAAAACGGGACTAAGGCCGCAAATAATAAAAAGAAACACATACACATAAAACACTCAAAGCACATCAAGCATACAACACATACAAAGCACAAAATACAAATTAAAAATGAAAGTGCTTTGGAAATTATATTTGACACGAAGCAACATTAATATTTACAAAACACACGTTATATTTTCCTTTATTATATATTTTTTCCCCATCAATTTAAATGAGAATAATCCATGGGAAGTGTTCGAAAATTTCAAAATCCTGAGTTGAAAAACTCTGACTTCGCGATTTTAAGTATCAGAGCCTAACACAAAGCGGTGCGGCGCAGCGGCGTGCTGTCGGCTTGAGACTTGCACCGGTGCCTACAAACCTAGAGGGATACTTCACGCATTGCGCAATGTTTGAAGTATCCCCTTAGGTTTGTAGGCGCCAATGCGCGTGCCGCGCCGGAGCTTGCCACGGCGCCTCAAGCAACTATTTCACCATAGAGGTGTTTCACAGTATCATACATAATTGAAGGTGCTCCAACATTTTACATATAAAGAATGACAGGCATCCTTTTAGAGTCTCCCTTTGAGAGTCTCACAATAACAACGGTGAGGCTCATAGTGTCCTTTCTTTTAATTTTTCTTGTTTTGCTGGTTGAGAATGCGGGTGTGATCCCTGCGAAACTTCCCGGGTTTCTTATTTTATTTTATGTGTTTCTTTTCATTATTTGCGGCCTTAGTCCCGTTTTAAGTTGTTTCTCTGTTTGATACCATTATGGGGCAAATTCAGTATATCATCAACACGGTACACTTACTATCAGTAGAACGTCTATGTAGGTCGTAATTTGACACGTACATGATGGCAATACCGTATCAGTTTGATAGCATCATGTTATCATACTCATACAGGCTGATAGGTATGATATATTGACCTCTAATGTGCAAGAAAAGGCCAAATTACGAATTCATTATGATCGCAATGATCGACATTTTCATAATTCTCTGCACTTTGTTTGCTATCCTGGTTCGTATCTGCTCTGATTATATGCAGGACTTCGAGGACAAGGCGCATAAGTGCAGTTTTTGAAAAAATTGAGATATTGATGATTTCATCTAAAACTAGTCTTCAAATATATTCTGTGAAAAATTCACTGTACTACTGACTAATTTTTATGGATCAAAAAGTGAGTTTGAACTTTCTTTCCGCTAAATAAGGCTGTATGTAATTAAACAACTTTAAACAAGGACTTCTTGAAATATAAAAAACTGTACTTGTGTGTCTTGTCCTTCAAGTCCCTCAATTGAGTCAAATCACGCAGATGATTACCAAAACACACCAATAAGCTCCGATTCCAGTTTTATTTTTTCGAAAAAATAGTTTCGAAGTTTCTATCGGAGGGCGCTGTTTTAGTAGAATTGTGGGGGAAAAAGTGCAGATATTTTTGCGAAAACAGGCTACATTTGCCCCAGGGGATGGATGAAACATGTGAAAATCTCAAAAAATACACTTGCTCTCAAAATTAACCAAAATTCATTTTCCGGAGTTGTCCACAAAATATGTCCTGCTGCTTCATGAAAATTTTAACCCTACTTGCCCCCATTTTGGAACGAAGTAATCACGATAGCCTGTTCTGACTCCATCTTTTGATACCGAAAAAATTTATACCGGAAAAATGTAACGTTATTTTATTCAAAAAGGCTTTTAGCTTGATTCTTTAGAAAAAGTAGGTTGCCGCTTCCCGCCCCTCTCTACTGAAGCACTGAAATCGGTACGACCCTCAGTGGATCGAGTCAAAGGGAAGGTCGTACAAAATTCAGAACCCTTAAACGCTTATAACTCCGTTCATACAAATCTTTGAGGTTCTAAAAGTGGCTCCATTGGCTTTCCCGTAAAATTGTCTACTTAAAGCACCCCTTGAAATGTCAAATGTGACAAAATAAACACCAGAATTTGCAGTTTTGGTTAAAAAATTTAATGTCCGACCTCTCTAATCGACTCGATCCACTGTGCGACCGTAAGTTCGGTTGGCTCGTTACGAGGACAGATATATGTCTCCACATCATGTGCGGCCCGATTCATCTCGGATGGTTCGTTTTCTCTACAGGGTGTTCCAGAAAGAAGGAGCCACTTTGAATATCATGGGACTATTTTTGAATGTCATAGTGTTAAGGCCTTATTATTAAGGAGACAGTTTTGAAGCCTGTTTTCACCCAAAGGTAGTCACTCAGAAAGGGTAGCCAGTAGTGGTGTAGAGTGCGCTCTGCGTAGCTCTATATAATGCTTAAATGATGACCCAGGAACATAAAACTAAAAAACGTGAATAAATAGCAGTTTCAGTGTATAAAAGTTGAGGAGCGCACCGATATCGAGGTCGAAATTAACCGTGAGTACATCGATTTTGAAACTGAGCAGAGAAAAAAGAATACCTCGATTGTAAAATTGGATAATTTTGAAGGCGCTGAGATAGCGTTTTAGGGCAATTTCGAGGTCTTGGATTTTTAAATTTTGAAAAATTGACCGAAAATTCGACTTTCAAGTCAAAAAGTAGGGTCTACTTAGCAGCAAGTTTCACAAAAATAGATCGGATAGGAGCCGAGATAGCGTTTCAGGCCACATCCTCCATTTTCAGGATTCAGGATCCATCTTGGATTTTCGGATTTGATTTGAGTTGAAACTCAAATTCCCCGCCAAACAATGCTACCTGTATCAATTTTCACAAAAATTGACGGAATAGACGCCGAGTATCGTAGGATTAGTAAGACACTACGCAGTGGTAAACGACATGAGTCAATTTTCAGTGCGCCTTCAATCTCGTCAGATACTGCGTAATACTTCGGCGGCGGAATAGTTGCTCAGACCGCCTTCGACAATAGCGCCTCGACTTCATAGCAGAAGATCACTATTACCGCTAAATTCTCATTTTTTAAATTTTGCACCACCGCAAAATTTGGTCGGAAAAACTTCAAGTCAACCCCAAAAAATGCGTTCTGAGTCTCTTTCGGAGAAAAAATGAGGAAAATAACTAAGTTCCAATAATATTAATAATTCTAATAATTCTTTCATTAATATTTCTAATAATTTCCTTTTTCGAGGGACCCTCTTGATCAAATTATTCAATCACTTGTACTCCTCAAAGAGAAACTTTCAGCGACAAGTTCCCAGAGTATCTGCATTCCCGGTAAGGTTTCTCACCATTATTCCACAGTTTAGCGCCATAAACTAGCTCCTTCTTTCTGGAGCACCCTGTAGAACTAAGCATCAAGTGACGATTTCTCGAGTGGACTTGCACTTTGAAAAATTGAGGATCACATTTGAATGCGCGTATGATGACGGCTCGGGGCAAGATCGGATGAACTCAGTGGCAGAGCGATAATTATTGGCTATCGATTTCGTCTCGTTTGAAGCCATGGTAAAGTATCGACTATCCAAGTTTACCTTAGTAATCGATCCTTTTCCATACTTTCAAATGGCAGATCAATCGATCCATCGCAAAATAGGACACCCGGTGAATCATGGCATAGCGGCTATCGATATTATCTCATTTGAAGCTATGGTAAAGAATCGATTATCCCGGTATGCCGTGATAATCGATTATTTTGCATAGGTTTTAGGGCAGATCGATCGATTCATCGCAAAGCGAGCCACGCCACCGGATGAACCACTAAGTGAAACTGTCCCCACTTACAGAGGAAGACATTCGCGTCCCATAACGCGAGTTAGAATGGACTCGACATGCGACGGTTCAAAGAGGGTCACAACAGGGTTGTCACGTTTTCACCGTCCGGGAGTTTGGATTCGGGGGGCACTTGGAGATTTTCAGGGCGGTTGGCAGTACTGAGGAGGGTGATTAACGAGCGGGCGTTCCTTCATATCACTTCAGTTCAACAACTTCTCGATATCATTCCCAGCTATGATCTATATGGACTCTCTCATAGAGTAACTTATACCCTTACGATGCATTTTTGCTGGATTTATGTTGAGATAGTCCTCCGTAAAGTACCATGAAGGGGAGAGTACGGCATTTTGTATCTTTTCAGTACCGGGAGGTTTTGTCGCTTTTTGGTTGGTCTACGAGTTTTAGGCTCATGAAGCTCTTATGGCACACGGAGAAAAAAACCTCGTGCGTGGGACCCGAAGTTTAGATTATATGGATCTCTGAAGTTTTCAGATGGAGCATCTGAAAACTTTGGATCTAGCTGTCGAGGTTCAGGTCACACATCTGAAACTTCAGTTGTTACAGAAGTACTTCAGATGTGAGAACCGAAGTTTTTCGGATGTGAGAGCCAAAGTACTTCAGATGTAAGAACTGAAGTTTCAGATGTGTGATCCGAACCTCGACAGCTAGATCTAAAGTGTTCAGATGCTTAATCCGAAAACTTCAGAGATCCATATGACCTAAACTGTGAGTCCCACGCACGAAGTTTTTTTCAGCGTGCAGCAAGTGAACAAACGCTCTTATTGGTCGATGGGGCTCAGAAAGCTTCTGCCAGATAAGAAACAACCAAGATGTGATAACTCATTTTGAAGAAACTCTCGCTACGAAGAACCAAACTTTGGCTCTTACGAAACAACAAAGTTCAAGTCTTATCAGAGTACTTTAAAAATTCAATTTTCATCCCATACTTTTCTGTGACAACACTGTTAAAATTTGCTGTCATCCTTCGCTCCTCTGACGTAAGGGCTTATCTCTACTGCTATTTGAGCCCTGAGAAGCATAGAGTTTTACGGAGAACAGGGTTCTTGTGGGCATTGAGATACGTCCTTACGCCAGAGCAGCGACGAATTAAAAATACTTTTTTATATACGGTTGGAGCGTTTCGAAAAACAGGGATGGTCATTTTAATTTTAAAGGGACCAAAAAATAGTGACGAGGCGTGAGTAGTCAAATTTAGCATTTCCCCAGATTATGAAGGTATTAGTTGCGAACACCTTGTTAATCGATCCTTTTCCATTCGTTTGAACGGCAGATCAATCGATAAATCGCAAATTGCGCCACGCTACACTGCCGTGCAACGCAAAAACGCCGTAAATGCTATTTTAATGTTTTTGGAAACAATGTATCACAGCAGGAAAACGTGTGTACCGTGGGATACTGTTTTTACACAATTCTTTGGGAAATCCTCTCAAGAACTTAACCTGAAAATTTGAGGTGCATGGCTAAAACAGGTTTTATTTTCTAAAGTGTTAAGTTCCAAAAAACGCGGGGAAATCTTGATGGATTTACGGCGTTCTTGCTTAGCACGGCAGTATACGGCCAAAAAAGGTCCTCTCGCCAACTTCAGACCAGTTACCCATTTTTTCGACGAGGTTTAACAGTCAAAAAGGAACCATTATCCATATTTTCGGCTTAAATTAGCTATGTGTGTAAGAAGTCATGCTCGGGGCATTCCGTTTGAAAAGGGGGACCTTTGAAAAAAGGGATTGGCAGTCAATCGTCTCCTTTTGATCGGAGATAAAGCAGAATTTGACGTATCTCTGCCAAACGGAACCGCAAGCATTAACACACGAGCCCTGAGACCCATAAGAATATGTGCATAATAGGGCTCACGTCAAAATGCACGTAGTTCCGTTTGGCAGAAATACGTCCATATGGAAGAACGAGGCCTCTCAACGGATGAATCCATCTCATTATAATCCCATCCTGAGCCCGAGTTTGGCCCTGTTAAATTCGTCTCTCTTCCAGGAATACAATCCGACAAACAAACAACAAAGCCTCTGGCGATTTCTGCTCCCTCCCGAAAGAGGGTAGTGATGTTTGGATTTTCTCCAAATTTGAACACATCGACAAGCCACGTCTGTTGAGGTTCGATAGAAAAAAATCCAACGGTTCCTCAACGTGAGCCTTTGAAAAAGGTATACGCATTAAAACACCGTTTTCCTTCGTGTTCACTTCAAAATGTCACGTGGAGCATTGGAGAGGACGTCAGTATTTTAAGATTTAATCAGAATCAGCCTAATCACATTTTATGTTCCCTGCTTTCCCTCTTTGTTTTATTTTTTTGACAGAAACCTCAAGAACGCACTGGATTTTTTTGTGGATTTCTGTTGGCTCTTACACAGCATGCACTCGCAAAAGTTCGCCCTGGTAAAAATTATCAGTAGAATGTGTGTTCCAAAATACTATAGACCTAAAGCCGGCTGTAAGATTTCCAATAGCTTCTGTAGCCGGCTGTACAATTTCTTATAGCCTTTTACAGCCGATGGCGACTGAGCAACAGCCAGACGATAAAGTTTATGCTAAACGTTACTAAATACGGATACTAGGACTCAGTTAGTTTTGGACTACTACTCTCTTTTTGTGCCGTAGTGTCTTGATTTATTTTGCGAGGAAAGCTCCGTACTCTGAGATGTCTTTCATTCTTATTGGATCGCCCTCAATTTTGTATGATGCTGTGCAACATCTCTGTTGCGGTATAGTTGTGGGAAGCGCCGTGGAGGGCGACCAGCGCAGTACGCGCGATGGCGCCTTCAAACCTAATTGGGATACTTCACGCATTGCGGTACGCGCGATGGCGCCTTCAAACCTAACTGGGATACTTCACGCATTGCGGTACGCACGATGGCGCCTTCAAACCTAACTGGGATACTTCCCGCGTTGCGCAATGCGTGAAGTATCCCTGTTAGGTTTGTAGGCGCCAAGGCGCGTGTCGCGCTGGCAGCCCGCTCCACTTTGTGTTAAGCTCTATTAGGCTCTAATCTTATGAGATAGCATATGTGAGAGATAGCATATGTGAGAGATAGCATATGTGAGAGATAGCATATGTGACTTAAGTTTCCTCACTCAGGGGGGTGTTTATACGGTTGAGCTAGATATTGAGGGTTGCTGATTGTAGAACGGTATCCATCTCATCATTTATCTATTCAGAGCCTTTAATATGCAGATCGAGAATGTGAAGAACTCCATTTTTCTTAAAAAAAAAAAAATGTCAGCACAACGTTCGAGTGTCCCTCGGGTATAAACTGATTGCTGCAGAAACGCCCACCGATAGCAAATTTTGAGTTTTTCCCGACTTTTAAAATGAGCTGACAACGATGCAAAATAAAGGGAAGAAGCGGAGCAACTTACCCTCCCACTGGAATCCACCGAATTAATATCCTCCGTCTGGAATTGACCGAGGGCAACTAGTTCCTGCAAAATGTCGTAGCGGCCTTCCTTCGCACATTTCAGGATCGTTTGATCACCGATCAGGGTCTTCAAAAGGGCCGCCGGGTCAAAGGGAGTTGCGTTGGATGGAAGATCACTGTTTTGTAGCTTGTCGCAGGCGGTTAAAGGACTGTCATCGACAGGCAAAGCCCTGAAACCAGTAAATAAAACATAAACACTTTGAAGAGAAATGAATTATAATTATTTCTATTACGATGTGTCCTTGGGATAATGGAAATTTTGAACGAAAAATTATATTACTTCATCTGAGAGTGCTTAATGAGATAAGTTTGCAGTATTTTTCATATTTTCTTTCTGAAATGGGATATTGTATAATAATATATTTTAAAGTGATAAAATATGTGCTGTGGCGTCATCTGGCGGCATTTTCCGTTTAAACACTTGTATTTTAGCAGATTAGGTTATTTTGTCATGTTTCCTCCAATAATTGTTCAATTTAGAAACCAAGGATGTCCTCGTGGTTAGTTCCCATAGCAGTTTCATTTTAGATATGAAATCTAAAAAAATTCAGACAACTGCAAATTCTTTACTATGGCCGCTGACAGAAGGAGGGGGTGAGTAATAATGAGAGAAAAACGCTTTAAAATGAATGCTTCAAAATTACAATCTGATGGTTCGGCGAGAGGAAAAAAAATGATGTTAGCTATTTCCAAATTTCATTGGATTTTTTTTCTTTAATTGCTCAGTTTGTGTAATTCCTTTTTACAATGAGATCACTTAGAGCAGAGAAAATGTAAAACGAGGCAAGGATAATATGCAGGGCCATTCAAAAATTCCCGAATACTGCGAACTATTGACTAGAAGATAACCGAAGAATTCATGGTTCGTCATGTCTCAAAAGGGCTGGCAAAACTTCTGCGGTAAAATATGAGCTACGCATTTAAAGTGATCATTTTAGCGACCAAAAGTTACACTGAGTGTCCATATGTTAGTTCGATTTGCGAGCCCAGACAAGTATAGGCGTTTAAAGTGTGTGCAATAAATTTGTGATATTCAAGCGATTTTAATCAACATCGTAAGCATTTTATGACTTCCAAAAGTTAGACAAACCACTCCTGGCCCCTGATTTTCAAATTATTATATGCACTTTAGTATGATCATGAACACTAAGATTTTTTGTCTTCATTTCAAATGGAAGGCCAACGCGGGTACATAGGAGTAAAAAAAGTAGTACTCGTGCCAATGATCAATAAATTATAACGAAAATCAGCACTTTGTCGGGCATAAAACTCAGTGCAATTATACAGAATCGACGGTGAAACTACCAGCCAACGTATCTCGGTTTGCGACATTGTAGACTTTCTTCCATACTTTGTTTTTTACATGGAATCCCATTCAACGAAAATTTTCAAATGATTTGTCTACTCTATGCGCAAAAAACTCTGTGAAAACTTCAAGGAGCTAAATTGATTTGTTCTCCGTCATAGGAATAAAATGGGAGCGGAGATTTTTAAACACCGCAAACGAAATACGTGGTCTCGTAGTTTCACCGTCGAACACTGGAAAAAAAACACATTGGATTTAGAGTCCAGACTCTTGAAAACATTGACAAGAAAAAGGACTCAGAAAGGACATCAGATTTAAGCTTAAATCAAAAGGAAATCCGCTCAAATTAAGAGGCTTGGTTCTTGATTTAAGCTTAAATCTGATTGAATCAAGAGTATTTTTTCTTGTCGATGTTTTTAAGAGTCTGGACTCTAGATGCAATGTGTTTTTTTCCAGTGCGTTGAATGTTCTGGAAAAATTGAGAGTTGGACAGAGGGCCCAAGTGGCCGATTCCAGTCTCGTGGCAACTCTCTTAGGAGGAGACTGAAAATATCGACGGGATTCCCGCGGGACGACTTGATTTTCAGGGCCGAATCGTCGATAAAATTGTACTGTTGCCAGGGGCTGTCATAGAATCACCCGGTCTGAATCCCATTTGGAGCTAACCATCGACGAGCACGTGGATCACAATCGTGGACAACTAATTTTTAATATTAAAAAATCCTCTTTGATCTATTTTTCCCCTTTTGAGTGATTAAAACTTCTTTTTATAAATGTAATGTTCTCAGTGGAACGTGTACTTGCTTACTTTCCACTGAACTCGGTATATTTATACAGAGTCGGAATGCCTTACCTGAAATTAACGAGATCACAATCTTTCCAGTGGATCGTAGGGCATGGAACTGATTCGTCAGGAATGTCGAACCTTACTCTCCGATTTGGTGACGAAGTTACTGCTGCCCGGTCCTCTAAATCTATCAGTTCATGTGTCGAGTGACTTCGCCCGTATTTACGCAAAATTGGCACGTCTTCTGTGTACCTGAGAGCAATTTCAAAAGATTCGATTTAAATTTGCATAAATAACAAGTACAGTAGTTAAGCACACGCTAAGTCTTTGCAAAAGATCAAGAAAACAACCGAGCAGGGACACTGAGGGGAAGACGGATAGAAATGGGGCACTTAAAAAATTCTGAGAAGGGGGTGAAATTTTGCGCAAGTACGGTGACTCGATGACCGCTATATTTTGTGTCTGAACGCTACACAGTATATCGAGTAAATTAGAGAGTTCGGACATGAAATTTTTGACTAAAGCCGCAAATTTCGATTTCTAATTCGTCACATTTTAAATTGTAAGGGGTACTGCTAGAAGGAAATTTCACGAGGAAACCAATGAAGCGACTTTTAAAATCTCAAAGTTTTGACGTAACGAAGTTATAATTATTTAAAGTTTCCAAATTTTGTCCGACCTCTACCGTTGACTCGATCTGCTGTGCAACATATGATTTATCGCATCTATTTGTTCCATGTTTTCAGCTGCTTGTCATTTTCATCGGATTTCTGTTTTCACGAGACGAAAGAATTCACTCACCAAATTCAACACACTAATTTACGTACGTAATTTTACTTTGGGTAGTTTGCAGTGGGTTGATATATTTTTTTTTGCTAAATAAATACCTTTTTTGACCTCAAGAAGGAAAAATTAATTCCTTTTCAAGTATCTTTCAAACAATCAGTAAAACTTACAAAGAATCAAACACTGAACTTGATCCTCTTAGAAAAAAGTTAGCAAGCGTCATTTACCTATTCAGGATAGCGGAATCGTCCCTGGTGTCATATCTGCTAACTTGGTGAGAATTTAATTTGACTTTCATCATGGGTGGTACGTCCTCGTAGATGGTCACTCGTAGGGGCCCAGTGCCCCTTTGAGCGTATCCAGTGTAAGACGGGACCCCTGGGTGAGTGCGCATCGTCGGCGACATCGCCTGAAACATCACAATTTCATCAACTGTAGATTATTATCTTCAATACGAGGAGAATGAGATACAAGAGAATAGTAAATGATCCAGATATGACGAAGGGATTCGTGAAATGAAGTTAATGTAAGGTAGAAGTTTCGCAAAACAGGAAACAGTGAGGAAAATAAACGCATTTTTATGTTGACGCTAGTTTAGGTTAGTTTGTTGATAAGTCATCGATGTCTTACCTTCTGATGATGAGTGAATTAAAAAGATGGAATAATGTTCGTGGGTATAATGAACTTTCCAAACCTGTCTCGAAAAAATATTTAATCGGAAGAATCGAGGCAACGTTAGATTGCTTGTTCGGAACACAACATGGTCCATTCAAGCTCTATTATTCGATGCCGCGATCATTCTAACGCGAGTTCGAATAATCGCGCCAAACACAGTGCGGCCGGCGTTAAACGTATATTAGCGCCTGCAAGACTTAAGGAATCCTTCACGCATTGTGCCAAACAGTGCGGTCAGCATCAAGCCCATATTAGCGCCTGCAAGACTGCATGAATACTTCTCGCATTGCGCCATATGCAGTGCAGTCGGTCAGCTGGTGTGAAACGCATATTAACGCTTACAGGACTGTAGGATTGCTGTAGGACTACGTGTCATCATTAGGTTAAATGGTGGAATCGATAGGATCTATACGATTATTAAGGGGTTCGTTGCGAATGCCTTAATAATCGATTATTGCGATTCTTTATCACAGTTTCAAATAAGGTAATATCGATCGTCGATCATTGACGCCTCGCCAGTGGTTGGATCGAGTGCATGCTAACTTTTTCTTTTAAGTAAACGGATTAATTTATTAATTACTTTCGTCCTAGGATCAAAACGGAAGGCAGGAGGGAACCTATAAGTCTCCTCATTTTATTCAGCCTTGGTACTATCCATACCCAATCGGAAATTTGACCTTGGGCAGATCGGAATAATATTGTGGCAACCTTAGCGAGATAGTGAGCATATTTCAACAGTAAGGTTGGCCTGAGAATCTTGGTACAATATACCATCAATACTGGATATATAACCTTAGTATTCTAATATTGCACCAATATTAGCAACATTAGAAATCCAACGTCAGGTGGTGCTCGGTGATTCCAAGATTGTCACAATGTTGTCACAATATTGGTTATACAATATTGGTAAACTAATACTGTCGTAGAGTTATGTTTTCAATATTGCAGTAATATGTTAGTTTTAACATTGGCGCATTATTAAAAAAATACTGAACATAGGCTTCTGCTTATAATATTGACACAATATTGACACAATATTAGGAAAACAAAATTGCTAAAATAATATCGAGACGATGTTATCTCTGTGATACTGCGGTATTGTTATTATGTTAACATTCAATTAACGTTAGAACAACAAACATAACAGGCTTCTGTTCGTAATATTGTCATAATATTGACACAATATTGGATATCTAAAACAGCTGAATTGATATTATGCTAACATTATTTTTACAACATTGTGGTAATATTCGCACTTTAACATTGTCACAAGATTAAGAAAATAAACATTTTAGGCTTCTGTTTCTAATATTGTCATAAGATTAACACAATATTGTGCGCGGCGAGCACAATTCGACCGCGTTTGCTATTTCCGCCACCAGGGCGCGCTCACCGCGGATCTGCCGTTGCGGTCCCTTTAAGGGCAAATCAAAGGGCAAAAACTGCGACCTTTCGCTTTTTGACGTAATAGGCACATGATCCATAGGCGTCTAACCCATCTTACCGATATTCTTAGGCCAAGGGCTCAAATGGAGCTTTTTGGCAACGGTCCGCGCGCGGCCGCCCCGTCAATGGGGCTGGTTCTCGTTTCGCCTGGGCAGTGCCCGTTTCAAGTGGGACCCAAGTTGAATACTTCAGCCAGTGCAAGCAGCTAAGAAAACAGCTGACTTAGGAAGGTTCCTCGGCACTCCAATGTTCCGTATGCCCACATTATAGGCATTGCGACGCTAAGAAATTTCTTCCGCGAGGACGGCAGGTAATACGGCGCTCTGTCGCCTATCTTGCCTCAGAGGTAAGATTGGAAAACCAAGCTTGTCTCAGAGGTAAAATAAATATCCTGCCAATACTATGGCAATATTTTAACATCAAGTCTATGGCAACATCATGATCACAATAACCGCTGAACAAGCTTGGAGCAATATTATTAACATAACGTTGTCACAATATTGAATATCCAAGTTTGTCTCGGAAGTAAAATAATGTCCCACCAATATTGTGGCAATATTGTCAGGATAGGCTTGGAGCAGTCTTACAAACCTAACCTTGGCACAATCTTTGGGCTCAAGCTTGTCCCAGAGGTAAAATAAATGTCCTGCTAACATTGTGGGAACATTAGCAAGATAAGCTTGGCAACTCTATTCAAATGTGAAAAAATGTCATACTAAGCTTGTACCAAGGTCAAATTTCCGATTGGGTACGTTCTCGGCCTTTTAATTATTGGACCATTAATTTCAATTGAATTGACGTGGCTGTCGCTTATTCAAAGACTCATTCTAACTCTCTGTCGATGGAGATAGAATATATCCCATCTCTACCTCCCTGCGAGAACATCCATCTGCGCTCGACGTCAACCGAGGGAAATTGTATATAGGGAAACAGGACACATTTTTAAACGACAAGCAGTTATATCTCGAAATTGAGATTTAAATTGAGCTCATAAAATTATTATGGTAGAATTTTATTGCTCCGCATTCAGTCAATGGTGGTGTATTTATTGTTACTGAAATTCTCATCGATAATATACTTGTGTCATCCACCATTCTTTTCCTTTCTTCGACGAGTAAATGGACGACCGAACCCGTGTTAATTCTGAAGTGCGAAAAATTATCGCTCCCCCTAGAGACGACGTCGTTCCTGCAAAGTTTTGTGCCCCAGAAAAATAATGTACGTTTGCGATTTGATAAATTGTTCCGAATCGCGATACTTTATTGGGATCGTTGAAAATTTAGAGCAAACAGGAAAACCGCAGTCCGATATTAATTGTCAATGTAACGGGTGCAAAATGCGATGACTGCCTGAGCCTTGGAATGCAGAGTGCAGCCTCTCGAAACACATCGTGAAAAAACAGTGTGTTTTACGGCCAGTACACTTTATTGAATGGTTTTACATTTTTTCACTGAGGTTGTCAAATTGATGAGGATGGAGAGAAAGACTCCCCTTAAATTAGTTAACTGACTCTTTGCAAATAAAGTTTATAGCGATCTCATCGGTTATGGTAATCATGAAAAACCATGAAAATCATGGCATTTAGGGACGGCCCCAGATTATGGCAATGTTAACCATAATTGGACGCATTTATGCTAAAAGGAACTATGTTACGCGCAAACCCTATGCACATAGTTCCTTTTAGCATAAATACGTCCAATTATTCCTCAGTGTGGAGAAGTTCAGTGTAAGTAGGCTGATCCTGATCAATCGTACGAATCTCGTCGGTCCTCTAGCGTAAGGACGCATCTAAATTTCCTCGTGAACCCTGCTCCTCATATAAATCTATGCTTTCTTGGGCTCACGCGGGAATCTAGTTGAGTCCTTGCTTCTAAAGAGCAATGATGTGTTTTAGCCACATTCTGTCGTGCTAAGGAAGAACGCCTTACGAGCTTTTACATGTTGCCAAATTTCCTTTCACAAATCACGAATTTTCGGGAGAATTTGCTGGTCTTTATTATTTCCTTTCAATTTTTAGGAGATTCTATTAATAATTTGATGTAAAGAATCTGAAAATTTCACGGAGACATATTCATAACTTTCTTTAAAAATAAACGTTTTTCGAGAAGAAAATTGGCAACGTTTGAATGCTCATACGGCGTTTTTCCTCAGCACGGCAGCATTGATAGACGAGACGAAAATCCGAGGGATGCAACCACTAATCTGAGCGCCGTTTCATCCCGTTTTGTTGTTCGGTTCAACTTCGCGAGAAGAATGTCGACCTACATTTTCGCGCGAGCCTCCGAACCCGTGCGAGCGTGCCGTTACCGGGGCTCACCTGGAGTTTAATCGGACCTATTTTGCTTAACACCGGCCGAGGGATCGCGGTGAAATCCGAAATGGCGCTCCTGTTTTATCCTGCGTGACGGATTACGCTCCAAATGATTCCGATAATGGGCGGATGTTTTCATTCCGGCGCCGGTGAATAATGAATGATGTTTATGGGACGCCGCTGGTCGAGACTCGCAGGCATGCCTCTCCGGGTCTCCCTGCAGGGCTACCGTTTGGATCCCTCGCACGTAACAACGCGCCTCCTACACCAAGTTTTAGGTGTGCAAGTTGAGAGATAGCGCTGTAAAATCACCGGGTTTCCCCGTGGTTCCCAACGGTAATTCTTGATGGATAATGTTCTCGATGGATAATGTTCTTGATGGATACTGTTCTTGGTGGATATTTTTCAAGACGGATATTGCATTGAAAAAAAAATCTCGGTGTATTTACTAAGAAAAGGGTAAAATTACCAAGAATTCAGGGTTCTATTTGATCCCAGTTTTTTCTTTGTAAAATTACCATTTGTGAAATTGGTAATTTTACCGAGAAATCTCGGCAAAATTATTGAACTTTCTCAGTAATTTTACTGGACCTTGGTAAAAACGCCAATATGTTTTATCGACTGTGGTAGAGTTACCGAGATAAAATGGCAAATTTACCGGGAATTGATTACCAATAAAAGTGATAGTCTTACCTGAAAAAAAAAAAACAGTAAAAATACCGATTTTTAGGTAAGCTTACCAGTCTGTCTTGGTAAAACTACCAATAATTGGTAAAAAAAAGTGAGATGGTAAAGGTACCAACCGAACTTGGTAAAAACGCCGAGAATTTTTTTTTTTCAGTGTAATTCTAGTGATTTTCGGAGGAAAACTGAATGATATCAGAAATGAAGATGTTACAAAAAGTTTTGATGATTTAGAGATAAACGCGTTGAAATTTTAAAAATTACAGGAAGCTCATGCGACAAGGGAGCTTCAA